TGTGAATCACTCAACCACAAAGCACACTGTTCTTTCTTACTACAGTGGTATGTGTGCTCCATGCAGCAAAAATGCATTTTTTTCGACAATGTATTGTATTTACAATCAAGATTGAGTGATTTCCCAGCAGAAAATGAATTTAAAGAATTTAAAGTCTCTTAAGATGGATTTTTCCTCAACTGTATCAAAAATTGCATTTGTTTTAATGTGTGTTTGTTGGCTAGTCGATGGTCAGAGGAAATGGTCTGGATCATCAGCAGCTTAATGATACAGAGGAAACCATTTACAGTGATAAAAAGCTTGGAACAGAATCAATCCCTAAACAAATATTGTTTAAATAATTAGCTTATAGTCATCAAGTAGTCTGCTTACAGGGCCCATTGTGGGTCTTTTCATATATCAAATGGAAAGAAATCTGAATGTTAGTTTTTAAACTCTGCTACCATTTGGGCATTGATACCCTACAGTTTATTTTCAGGCTGTTAAAAATTTACAAATGCACTGAAACCAGTGCCAAGCTCTGACTTATTGGCCTATTTGCACTACTGACGTTACTTTATTTGTGAACGGCACAAAACTGTTTTAGGCTACAGCCTAATTATAATTTGAACTACAATAAGCTAAATTTTATACACAGTACTGTATAGTGTATTTGAATGATACACAGTACAGTAATTTCATTTGTACCGTTCAGAAAGGTAGTTTTTCTCCTTTTAATGCGCCCAGTCCCAGCGCCACCTTTTCTCCTCATCTGGTTCAAGTTTTGTTGTCACTGTGATTTAACCAGCTGGCCAGTCCGGGCCTGTATAGACATCCTGTTTAGGGAACAGGGTTGCCAGAGACTGTTCAGCAGACTGTTCTATTGTCTACATATTTAATCTTGAATTCCTCACGACTAAAACCTTTGGAAGATGTGTCTCATTCTCATGTTTCTACTGTATGTTTTGTGGAAAGACGTTAGACTTTGCTGTCTGCACATCACAGCGATAGCATTCTTTTTGATTATCAGTTTCACTTTAATGGGTCGCACAGTATGTGGATAAATTTAATCATTCAATTATGCAGAAGTCTTTGCATTTATTACACATTCATATAATTCACATCCAGTCGGGCTCTATACAGTAAAAGTGTTACGGTGTCCAGATGTTCAGCTACAGTTTGATAATCACAGTCTGTGGATAAAGCTGCACTAGGCAATATTTAAATCAAAATCTGTAGAAATCCAGCTGTCTGATCAAGTTAAGTTACAATGTGGAGCTGGAACACACACATCTCATCCCCACTGCATAATTAGAAGAAGATATATACTTTATTAGCTTATCGTTCCTCAATGTGCTCACCATTAAAATGTAATACAGTTGATGCAAGAGCCTGATTAGTATTTACCAACCAGTTGACCAACCAGCTACATTTACTTTAATCCAAAAACAACAAGTTTAGCATTGCAAACATTAACCTGTGTATCATTTTACTGATGGTAGGATATTTGCATTTTTGCCTGAAGATTTCTGAGACATTGCTCCCAAGAAGAACACAGCAAATGTCCCAGGATGACATGTTTACATTGAAGTGACATAGCCCTCTAGTGGCCGTGGTCGTAGTGGCAGGAGAAAAGGAGGAATCCAGGTTATTATAGAGCGTCCAGAAGTCCAAAAAGGGAGGAATGGATGGTTCAACAAAACATCTGACTTGGACACTATATACCACTGTTCTTTTCCTGTTTGAAAACAGTGTTTATTTTTTTAAAAGCATGACCAAAGATCAATCCATTATCCTAACCACCTGGTTATTACTGTAACCAGTAATTACATAGTGAGCACAGAAAAATGAAGTCTGCTGCCGATGTGGAGTCAGACCAGAAAACACTCCAATATATGTCCAGCATATTTTGTCTTTTAATTTGTCGGCTTTGTTGAGATTTTTTCAGGTCTTTTCTTTCCTTAAGGTTTCCACTAAATTCAGTAAAGCAATAAATTCACTTACAGACACTTGGAGCATCCCAAATTTGGTAATTAAGTAAAATCATATCTGCTTTTGTTCTTATCAAAACAACATTATTGTTTGACGAGTACATTTTCATATTTACATTGTTCTGATAACCTTTAGGGACTATGACAGTTTGACTGTCAAGTTTGACTTGAAGTTCATTCTTGCATAAACATGGAAAGATAATGCATGGTGTGCATTGTAGAATATTCATTCGCTGTTAATTTCCAGTTATTTCAAATCGACCCACCTGTACTTTGAACAGCATTATCATGCCAAACCTTTTAAAACTCCTTTTTAAAAAAGCCTCAAGTCTCTTGACAGTTGCTTTTGATATCGTACCAAAAATAATTAAAACTACACAATCCAAAGCATAAAAACACTGGCATGGTCTAAAAACAGAAAACAGCTTTACTTTGTATGGTAGTGTAATTTTATTTTTTCCTGTGGATGATGGTGATACAGTCACAAAAATAAAGAATAAAATTTAATAAATAAATAAAGAGGAATGTTGTCGGCTGCCAGGTGTGTACCCATTGATCCTCATAGTAGTTTCTGATAAAAATACAATGTTGTACCTAATCAGCCTGAACTGAGTATCGAGAATCTGGGTTGGTCAGCTTGGTCACTACAGCTGGCAGTGTTGGTTGGTAGGAACCCAGGGGGGGGATCAGGTCTGTGTTCCAGTAACTCCAAATGGTTGATATCCACACTACTCCTTTGCTTTCTGTCTACACCCTCTGCTGTCCAAAAGTGGGAGTTAGTTTAGTAGCAACAAGGAATTGGACAATCTAAATTGCGGAACAAAAAGGAATTACAATCTACGGGAGGATGACACAAACCAAAGGCTTTGGTAAAATGCAGTGCAGCCACAAGACTTTGTGTTACCGGAAAGGTACGTCTCTCAAAGCCCCAGGCAAATTGTGATGTGATATTGCGCTCAGGGCCGCCCATAAGAGGGGGAAAGCATAATAAGCTAATTTAATTTTGAACCTTAAAAAACTCACCATTACTTAAAATAACTTAAAATTAAAAAAAAAAAATTAATGTTGCTGTAGTATAAATATATCCTGTTTCATAATAAAAACCACCTCTCCTGAAAATGGTATGAGAAATGTTTGTCGTACGCAACGTCAAAACATCAAAAGTGCACCGCATGCTGCAGGCCATGTATGTGTTTATGTGGGAGATGGAGAGAGAGCACAGCATGCCTTGACACAAGTAAATCAGATTTACAGAGGGCCCATTTACTGGACCTTTTCAGTCACTTTTATATGTACAGTCTGTACTGCTTTGCCTTGGAAGAAGGACTGTAATGCTACAACACCACCATTATGTGTTTATCTATTGCTATCTGTATAAGAAGAACAGCCCAGTGCCATCAGGAATTACAGTGACACTGACAATCTGCACCTCAAAACTTGGTGAGTTGAGGTAGTGTGCCTTTATGTGTCTCGAGAGTCCAGTCAGTGTCCAATCGCACGACCGGCATCATTGTTTGCTTTTTTGTAACTGTAACCAGGATCATAGTGTTTCACTTATAGTTTCTATGACCACAATGTTTTCCTAACCTTAGCCAAACTAAAGTGTAATCACTATATGCATATAGGTCTAGATCATATTCTTTGTAACAGCATTTACAGAGACCCAACAATTCCCACCAAGAGCAAGTGCAACAGTTGCAGGGAAAAACTTTAACTTTTAGCAGAAACCTCGAGCAGAATTTAGAATATAGCAGCATAACTAAGGGGTGGTTCAGGGCTCAGATGAGCTCAGACGAGCCCTGAACCATCTGGGACTTTGTAGAGGAGACATTGACATATTTGTGGTAATTCATCCCACAGTTATTGAAGTATTTTTGTCTGGACCAAGTCAGGCTGACATTGTCATCTAGCATGGCTAAAACGTCAGTGAATCTAATCTGGGGTTTTGCAGAACTCTACCAACTGTCTGGAGATAAGGTGTTAAAACATCACCCCCTTCTCTTAGACTGTGGAAAGCAGTCTGTCTTATTCCCAACGCGTCAAATACGGCCACCTGGTCAGTGGCCATATGCTTTAAATTACCAGACGCTGTAAGTACCCCTCTTGCGTAATCTCTGGACATGTCCATCTATGTTTTGATGTGTCACTGAAGTCAGGTGACGTAGTTTAAAGGGCGAGAAAAGTCTGCATAGAGAGTATGTCGAGCTAGTTGGATGGGTCAAACACTGGACCACTGTTCATTTCTTGTGTGAAACCAATAGTCAACATTATTTTTACCCTAAGTATGGAACTTAACTTGCATAACTGAAGTTATGTAACTAACACTTTTAGTGCGTAAAATGTAGTTATTTAAACAGAAACTATGATCTTTTCCTAAACCAAACCAAGTAGTTTTGGCGTCTGGTGAAGAAATGTTTCTCAGCCAGCTTTATTTTGAAAGTCTAACTGGATGTATTTCTTTTTGCTTACATTACATGCAAAACTGATGCTAGTGTGGTACCTACAGCGTCATGTAGGACCACTGTCCAGCCTTATTTGATCTGTTAGGAATGAGAATGTGTTGTGGAAAGGCATTGTGGGAAACATTGGCAAATGCCAACTAATGTAGAACTCAAGGAAAGGAAGTGTATACACCAATTTATGTAAATAACACAAAATATGACATTAACAATTAAATTTACTAGGCACAACAGATAGATAACATACTGCAGTTTGAGAGTATACAAGAGTGGATCTTTGAAACAGAGAATATCTTGCAATGCATCATACACAGTGTGCATAAAAAGCCCTGCATGAGCAGAGACAATTAAAAATTCACCTGATGTATTCTGACACTATGTTGAGTAATTCCCTGCCTTTACACTTTACACTCTACTACACAGCATAAGGACCTGCACCTCCGCCCATCCTACTTCTTCCCATTGGGAGGCTACAATACGAGGCTGCCCACGGGGAGAAGAGGCTTGTTCTCTTGCCTGTAACATTTGGAAAGGGGAAGCGGTCTGAAACTTATTCTATTTTCCTCTGCAGAGGTCCTTCTGCAGCGCCATGGTGGATGAGCTGCGGGTATCCCTCAAGTGCCAGCGCCGGCTCAAACACAAGCCCCAGCCACCCGTCATGGTAAAAACGGAGGAGGTCATCAACATGCACACCTTTAACGACCGCAGACTGCCAGGGAAAGAGACCATGGCCTAAAATGGGAATCACCATCTCTCCTGCAGTGAGGAGGTGTGCAGAGACACTGGGGAAGAGGTGGGGGTAAATGGTAAGGATGGGCAGTGGGTTGTAATAGTTGACATTTGGGTTATTTCTAAGGTAGAGCAGAGGTGTTTGGAAGTATATTGACAAAATGTCATTCTTGTTTCTTTATAAATAGCTGGGGAAGAGATTCAACAATATTTCCTGTGGAAATAACTTGGGTGAAATTTCAGCGAGTTACCTCATTACTCTTATCACCTTGGCAAAAAGGCAAACTACAAGTGCAAGGATTTTTAAAACCCAGGAGTCGAAGAGCAAGAGTCAGTAAATAAATTTAAGCTGGGACAGAGATGGTCCCTGTAAAAAACGGGGTCTCAAAGGAGGCTTGTTAAGCAGCACCAAGAGCATTGTAGAGACGGTGAGCAAAAAAACATGTATAGATGCTAACTTGTCGAATGGGGAGAAAAGTTTGTAAAGGATTGTTTATTTTCAGATGTTGTGAATAGAATGACTGCACAGGCTCTTGGCTAAATTAAACCCAAAGCCCCAAAGACAACGGCGAGCTCGGCTGCTCCAGAAATGTACAGAGAGCCATTGTTAAGTCACATATGATATTGATCAACGTCAAAAATGGATATACTATATATCATCCATCGGGCAATAAGTGATATCATTTATTTGTGTTTCAGAGTACTAACACTATTAGTCTTTAATGTAGGGGGAAGTAATTTTTAGAGGCAGAATATATGGTGAAATACAAGCAGAGAATGCAGGAGTCGGGCCAAAATATTGAGCTGTTGATGCCCATGTATTAGCAAGTAGTCACACACCCTTAATATCAGTAAAGAGGAACCTTGGAATGGTGTGAGCAAGGCTCACCAAGTCTAAATTCACAGCAATCACACAACACACAAACTCTATTTATTAAAAGTATTTATTGTTTTATTTATGAAACTTATTTATATCTCTATAGACTGGATTTTCACTACTGCCATAAATACACCTCACTTCCACTCTTTATGGGTACACAGTTTCTTTCCATTTGCTCAGTGTCAATTCTCCAACTTCATTTTGTACTCTTGTGGCTTTTATTTTTTTTTTTTATTTGGAGCAAAGCCCCACATTTACTTGTGCAAATGCAATTTCTATGAAAAAGTGTTTTTGTACGAAGAGAATCAAAGTTTTGTAATGATTTTTATCAACACGAAACACACCATGAGAGTGTCATCCATGGCAGAGGGGTGGTACTCCAGGCTGGTAGTTCAGAAGGGTTTCCTAGACACATACACACAAACACACCCAAGAGTGCAGGGTACACCCATCCTCCATGGAGCAGATTCAAACCAATTAATACTATTAATATAGAGCTTTCTGATAGCATCAGTGACATAATGTTTTGGAGAAGAAGTAAAAAATATATATTTTTATCATGTAAAGGAATCATATTCAAAGAAAGATATTTTTACTTCACATGAAAGAAGAGTAATGATAATACTGGTTAGAGCAAATAGTGTACACGCACAACTGCTTGATTCCTCCTGGCACGACTACGTCGCATTCCAGCTGAGATGTGGACGCCAGAGCTGATTGTGCTTGTGATTCCACCAGATGTGATGCTGTGGGTTTCAGAAGCAGCCCTCCACTCTGCTCCGTGGAGAATACACGATATATCCATTATTGACGGAATCCGTGTCAAGCTGCACATAGCAGATCGAACTGGGCAGGAAGTCAGACACGGCTTAGAGCATCCAGTCGCTTTTCAAAATAAAACACTCAGACTCCCTGTAGTATATCAACAATAAACATGATGAAAAAAAAGAAACCATATCACTATGCAGCCTACTTACCCACTGTAGAAGACATCAACAGTAGGATCAGGACAGCACAGAAATCAAGGAATATTACCAAATCAACAAATTGCAGGTAAAAAGCTCTGCTTCCTAAACGCTCCTTGGTGGGACAAAGAAATGCAGAGGATGCAACAAAAACATGCAGCAGATGTGACGTCAAATAGCCGTGCCCGGTGGAATCAAGGCACAAGAAGAGAGGAATACTGCTGATGATGCTTATCATTCTACACCCCCAGTTACTGATAGAATGCTAGAATCCAGTGCTGAGCAATCGTGTGTAAATGGTTTTAAAAAGGAAAAAGATGTATTTAAAAATATATAAAGACCACTTAACTAATTTTGAACTTGTTGTGAAAACAAAATGGAGTGCACACAGTTTACCCTTTGAAGTTGATGCACAAGTTTAAAGAAAATAAAGTATTCCCAACTTTCACCTCATCTGCCTCTTTATTGAATGTTGAGTACATGAATGAAACATGACAAGAACAGAGTGAAAATTACAGCACTTAAAGTATTCTATAGTAGAAAGCTATTATAGGAGACTAAAAATGTATAGCCAGAAAAAATGCCCATGTGGGCCATTTTAATAATGGGATGGAATCTGAGCTTTTAATTAGATAACCCCATTGGGCAAGGGTGTGTCAACTTAAGAATTAGTTAGAGGCATGTCTTATTGCCTCTGCATTAAGTTCAGCCACCATATAATGTATAGTGTACATGCAGACATACAGGTTGGTCAAGCCCCTTTCCTTTGATGGTGCCACACAAGGGCAAGGGCTTCACCAGCTCCACGGTGGACACATCCATGGACTATTGATTGGGCCAAGGTGGGCAACAAATTGGGCCCGAGTCCATTTAGATCACACAATTTGGCAGAAGCATGTCCAATTACCCAGGGGCATTCATGGGAACGGACTGACCCGGCGCAGGGGGACGTAATCGATTTTCGCTGTTCTAGCTGTTTTCCGTCCAAAAACAGCGGCGCTTTGTGTCAACAAAGACCGTCTGGCGGGCCGCCATCTTGTTTAGATCAGCTGCAGTCTGAAGTTTCGTTTGTGTCATCAGATATAAGTGGAGAAGAAGAGTGTGATTTGGCGGAGGCGATCTTTATCCTGAAATCGTCTCATCAAGAAGAACAAAATGAGCCCACCACAGCCCTGTAGGATGTTCTGTTCTCAAGCTGTGGGCCTGTAAAGCATGGGATTGCTTTTGGTCATATATATTGACTGTTTTTATCAATATTTCAATGTTTTGTTATTTGGAACGTGGTTGTGTGGAGAGAAATAATGTTTTGAAGATAACTACCAATAAAAGTGAACATATAAAGAGTAAATATGGCCAAAACATGGACATTCGACTGCTATATTTTTGAAAGATTATGTAATAACTGTTGTATATCAATTTCTTTTCATCAAATTTACAGTTACAGTTGTATTCAAGGTGTATTAGAAGATATTCAGGTGCATTATAATCTACCTTAGGATGGATTTGATGGTTTATTACATCAAATAAAGCTTTTTTTACCAGGCGAGGATGAAAATATAATGTTTTCCTGTATTTCATATCCATGTAGTCTGTAATGGTAAAATAAATATGTTAATCTACAATGGATTCATATTCCTCAGCTTATGACCTTTCAAAGGAGACCAGAATGATGCATCTAGGCCTGATGGTTGAGGAGATATTACTGATTTATTTTGGATATGTTATTTTATCACTATTTTTTCCTAGAAATAGGTGCCAGGGTCCATGCACACCCATAGTAAACTCACATAGCTGATTTTAATAACTCTGGCTGATTAGACCTCTCAGGATTGTGTTGGCATATACAGTCTGTGTTTGACTGACATCTCTCTGACTCTCCTGTTAGATTTCTTTGCACCTGTTAGAGTGGGAAAATTACACCTTTATCACATAAAGCCAGTGTAGCAACCATGCTCAAAGTGAGCAGAGTTCTAATCAGCCAGAATGACTGGAAACACCTGTGAAGGTGCATCCTTTTGACTCACTAATATACATATTCATAGCTTTAACGTTTCCCACAATTCTTGATGTTCCAATAAAAATAAGTTGTATAAATATGTGGCCTCTATCTCCAAATGGGACCAATGTGATCAATCAGGGTCCTAAATCGGATATCTCTTTGTTGTGTACATGTTTAAATAATAAGATTGTAGCAAAAGTCATTAAGACAAATAAATGGATACCAAAACCACCATACCAGGTGCATCTTAGGATGATTATTCATCACATCAGTCCTTTCATTTGATTCTTAATTTAAGAAACTGAAAAAAATCAATACTAGTTTAACTAATCTTTCCAAAGAAAAAAAAATTTTCTAGGAAGATGTCCACTGCAGCTTTAAAAGAAAAAAAGAAATTGATGATTGATGATCATTTTGTTGTTTGGTTGTGTATTTTGATTATTCAATAACTTGATCACAGATCACAATACTTTACACTGTCCCCACTGCACTATCCATCTGTTACTTTATGATTTTTAAAATTAATTATTAATTATTAAAATTAATTTTCTATACTGTTATAAAACATTCAAATGTATTCCATTGTCATCAAATACCGTTAAAAACATCTGTGAACATGTTACATGGTTAGAAGTTCGCTCATAAAACCACCTCACTCAGCAGAGACCAAACCACTCGACAAGGTCACTGCATAACCAGTCCCTGACCTCTGTCAGGGAATCTAGTCAAAGCTAGCCACGATGACTCAGCAGAATGACAGCAAATCAGATTAAAGCACCTATCCTCCGTGCCCTGACCCCAGAGGCAGCACGGACCTGAGGACAGGAAGCTGTGGGAAATGGAGCCAAAGATTACATTAGACACATTTGTGTTTTGTTGTCTGCCCTGCTGGTCTGAAGAGCACTGCGCACTTATCCACTTGACCTCAGAGTTTTGCCACATTCATTCAAACCTTTATTTAACCAGGATAAAAAACTCCTTGAGATTAAAAATCTCTTTTACAAGAGTGTCCTGGCAAGGGGCAGCAGCGCGGTTACAAACAGATACAGAGACACTTACAGGTAAATACATAGACACACTTTCACTCATCACATTCAAACAGCAATGTCATCATAAAAAGCCTGGGTCCTAAATCAATTCAAAAACAGTGACAGACAGACTGCATTTCTGCAAGGTCCTTTAAAAAGCCTTTAAAAGAATAAAGTGAGACCAACTCCTTCAACTGTAGTTCATTCTGAAGTTGATTCCATGCAGATGGTGCTGCAAAATTAAAAGCCTGAATTAAAAGTCAGTGCGGGCTTTAGGGACAGTCAATAAAAACAGATCCTGTGAGCGCAGGTGATATGTCCCTGCAGGCCTCGGGAGGATGTAAGTGTTCACATAAGGAGGAAGAAGTCCACACCTCCTTATAAATAAAAAGATGCTAGTGCATCCAACACCGAATGGAGAGGGAGAACCACCTGACCCGAGAATACAGCAAACCGTGATGAGTGAGACATTGTAAGTTTGTGATGAATCTCAAGGCTCCATGAAACACAATGTCCAAAGCATGAAGACACTGGGAGGTTGAATACATGTATAAAATATTACCATAGTCCAAGACAGACAAGAATGTTGCATTGTTGCAGGACTTGATTCTAAAAAAATCTTGGACATGCAATATAAAAGACAGTGATTGGTCAATGGTAATGCGTAAAAAAGTATTTGTAATGTGACACTTCTTTGTTTTCTGTACCAGAAAGTGTACAAATGGTTGGGACATTGTTTTCAGTTGATTTTCCCAGAGTGAAAGTCATGACTTTAGTTTTTTTTAGAGTTTGGAACCAATTTTAAAGTAGCCAGATTATACTGCAAGATGTTAAAAGCGGACTGTAAATTTGTGATTGCTTGACCTAATGTGGACCCAGAACAATAGAGAACAGTGCCATCAGCATAGTAATGATAGTTTGTATATTTTATATTATTGCAGAGGTTGTTTGTATAAAATGATAAAAAGAAAAGGCCCAAGGATTGAACCTTGAGGCACCCCTTTTGAAATCTTTAGGGAGGCAGAAGTGAGGCCGTCTACTTGCACACATTTTGTTCTCCCTGATAGGTAACTGTTGAACCATCCCACTGCTTGTTCTGATAGTCCAATAGAGGTGAGTCTTTGAAGGAGTATTTTATGGTCCGCTCTGTCAAAAGCTTTTGACAAATCAATAAACAGTGCTGCACAGTGCTGTTTATTGTCCAAGGCTTGACCAGGTCATTAGCAACTTTTGAAACAGCTGTTATTGTACTATGTTGTTTCCTGAAACCAGATTGAAATTCATTCAGATTATTATTATTAATTAGATAGTCTTTTAATTGCATGCTGATGAGTGATTCCATTAATTTAGATAATACTGACAATTTAGAAATAGGCCTAGTTATTTATGTTTTCAGGATCACCACCTTTGTGAAGGGGGAGAACTTGGCAGATTTCCAGATGGGTAGTACTTGATTCATGGCTAAAGAAAGGTTAATTAAATATGTAACTGGATTGGCTATCAAATCTGCAGCTATTTTTAAAAAGTATGGTTCCAATTTGTCTGGACCTGATGATTTTTTTGGATCTAGATCTTTCAAGGCCTTCCTTACTTCTGGTACGGTTACTGTCTTGAAATGAAATGGTTGAGCTGACAGTGACTGATCAATAGGACAAACAGTGGGAGAGCTGGAAATTGGATTATGTAGTGTTTCATAAAGGGAGCTAGCAGCAATGAAATGATTATTAAAACTATTGAGAAATTTATTTTTACAATATTTTTTGTCATTAACAACAATACAAGATGGTCCTTCTGTATCTGTTTTTGCTTCAGTTAATAATTTGATTGTTTTCCAGAACTTAAGAGGGTTATTTAAATTTTTGGATGTTTCAGAAAGGAAATTACGTAAACGCCGAAATTTCAGTCAGACTCGAGCTTTGAACTTGAGCCCAGGCTTGATTTCGCTCAAGAAGGTCAGACAATTCATTGCTAAACCAAACATTATTTCACCCTTTCACTCTGTCTTTTGAGTGGGGCATGCTTGTTTACCAGGCCTATGAAACCATCATAAAAAAATGTCCAAGCATTTTCAACATCAATAAGGCTAATTCTTCCCCAATCAAAATCATACAGGTCATGTAAAAAGCCTTGCACTGAGAACTGCTTCATTGCCCAAGATTATGCGCAGTCTTGTTTAAGGAATTTTTGTGTTCCTTACAGATGCTAAGACAATGATCGCTTATATCATTTGCAAAAACAGAGGCACAGCAGTATTTGTGAGGGGCATTTGTAAGAATAAGATCAATTAGGGGTGATTTTTCTGGATGTTTTAGGTTTGGTCTGGTGAAAGAATCACAAAATGATTTAAAATGATCAGACATTGGTAAAAGCCTGTTCCAATTAAGATCTCCTAAAAAGACAATTTCATTATAATTTAAACTT